GTGCAGACTCCGAGGGCAGACCCCGTGTGCAGACCCCATGTGCAGGCCATGTGTGCAGACCCCGTGTGCAGACCCCGTGTGCAGACCTCATGAGCAGACATCTGCCTGTCGCTGGCTGCATGGAGGCTGCTCTCAGGCCTGAGGCGCAGGGCAGGGCTTCAGGAAGGACCGAGGCCGTAAGCACGAGTGGAAGAACATAGTTGGCGCTGAGGAGGACAGCGCCCTGAGAAAGGCGACCCCGCAGAGCTGGGTCCAGGACCGTGGGGGCCAGCACTCCCATAGGGCTCAGAACATGTGTGGGCACAAGCGAGATTGCCCAGTAAGCCCAGCCTATCCCATCCCGGTACCCTGAGATCCGCAGGTCTCACCATGTTTTCTCCTACAATTGGGATCGAACTCAAGGCTTTTGCACTGAGCTACATCTCCAGGCCTTTAATTTTTCTTTTGTTATTATTTTGGGATGGAGTCTTGGCCACTCTGGGACCCTCCTGCTTCAGCCTCCTACAGGGTGGGATTACATGGCCCCAGGTGAGGCGTCAGGTCTCATTATTAAGCAAGCATGGGTGCATTTCTTCTTGTGTTGTCTGGCAAGATCACATCTGACCACACCCCCGTTTTCCTCAGCACCCCAACAATGCGTCGCTGATGGCTGGGGTTAGCCTCACAGTGCTAGAACTGCAACCACCCAGAAGCCTCCACAAGAGCTGGCAAGCCTGGCAGGAGGACCTGGTCACCTGGGCTTCTCTCCACCAGGCATCAGACTAAACCAAAGTGCTACACTCAGGGGACCCTGGCAGGAGGAGAGGGGCGTGTACAGCCGCACCCCACCCCTCAGCCAACTCTGGGCTCCACGTTGGTCCCTACTGCCTTAGGGAAACTCAGGTCTGAGGGAGCCCACCTGCTGCTCCCCAAGGGCCGCATCTTGCTGTCCCCTGCGCCCCAAGCCGGGCTGTCCCAGGTGGAGGAAGGAAACCCTCCCGTGGCCAGGGTCTCAACTCCTCCTGGCATGTACTGTGGTTTTCTGTCACTGTGACCATTCCTGGGGGTGCTGCTTACAGGGGACTGGCTTCGCAAGCCCAGGCTCTGGGGTTGGGGCCTGGCAGGGCTCTGACAACGCCCTGGAAGGGGAGCGCATGGTGAGGGGTGGTGGGCCTTCTGTGGTGAGGCGGCTCTCCATCCACGTCAGGGTCCCACAGGGCCGCGGGCACATCCCAACATCACCGTGGTGTACCTGGGCCACAGGCGGCAGCTGCCCGGGCTTCCTACCTGGGACCCACCGCCACCACTAGGGTGGAGGAAGGCCTCTCTCCAGAACCTCCTTCCCGTGAGTCCTCTCCTGCGCAGCTTTCTCTGCGCCGCCTCACCATTTCCTCTTGGGTTTTCAGCTGCACCTTCTGTTCAGCCTGCCACCAAGTTTCAGCCCCTGCTGTGTCCCCTGGAACTGTGTCCCCTGAGTTGCAGGTCTTTGTTCCCTCTGGGCTTCATGTCCAGAGGGCCTGTCGGGCTCCTTTTCCTGCCTGGCTGTCCTCGTGCTGTTCTCTGGCATCTGCAGGTACAAAGCAGATGTCACCGCCCTCTCACATCCTGTGTGTGCTGTGCAGGCTTTCGGGAGCAGCTTCCATGGGCTGTGACAGTTTTACCTCCTCTGACCTTGAACCCATGGGCTCACTGGGTCTGGGTCGCTGTGGCTTCTTGTCCTGAGTGGGGACCAGCTCCAGCCCACATCCTCCTGTAGGATGGGTTCTCTTTTCTTTCCTTTTTTATGTACTTAGTACAGGGTCTACGGGGTCTCACTACACAGATCGGACTCATAGTGATCCTCCCGTTTTCAGCTTCCCAAGCGCTGGGATTACAGGCGCGAGCCACCACGCCCATTCTCAATCACTGTCTCAGTGTGCCCTGGGGGCGGGGCTGGCACAGCACGCTGGGGATCGAGCCCGGTCCCTGCATCTGCCTAAGCAGGTGATTGAATCAGCTGAGCTATATGGCTGGCCCTTGGGTTTCTCTTTTCTTTTAGGTACTGGGGTTGAACCAAGGTCTTTGCACTGAGCCACATCCCCGCCTCTCTTTTACTTTTCATTCTCAGATAGGGTCTTGCTATGTTACCCAGCCCGGGCTAACAACCCTGATCCTCCCGCCTCAGCCTCTCACAGTGCTGGAAGCACAGGCATGCGTCACCACTCCTGGCTGGATGCCCCCTCTTGCACACTGCTTTCTGGGGTCCAAAGGCATCGTGTTCCCACCATCTTCTTTGGACATGCACGCTGTGGCTTGGAGCAGTTTGGTAGGTGGCTGCTTGACACAGTCACTAACACTAAGTGATATTAACTGACAGCTTCTATCAGGGCTCAGGCATAAATACTCAAACATTGTGGAGCAGAGCCTGCTGTCCCTGGTCCCCACCCCAGCCCCCTGGGGAAACCAACACACAGGATTTTGCAAAAAGCTGTATTGTGTGGGCAGCACCACCACCCAGGAGCAAGAGGGACGTGTGTGTGTGTGTGTGGCGTGTTCTGAGCTTGTGGTGGGGTCCTTGGTCCTTCCGCTCCAGCAGTCCTGGGAAGACATGTCCAAACCGTGATGGGTTAGTGAAAGGCCCGGGCCTCTGGGCCACGACTTGGGCGCTTGGCTACTGGAGGAACTTGTGTCCATACGAGTCCAGGACATGCTGTGGCTGTTTCCCGAGTGTGCTGACGGTTTTGGTCACCACTGGTAGCCTTGCACTCACAGGGCCGTTTGCCCTCTAACTTCTGCCTGGTGCTGTCACACTGGCACTGTAAGCACACGTGTGTCAGCACACAGGGCCCCGCTGTGTCTGTAGAGTGGTTGGCTGTGTCGATGTCGCATGTGTGAGGACAGGACCATGCCTAAACTCTCAAGTGCATGGGGCCTGGGGCCTCCCCATCAGGCACAGCAAGGATGGAGAGGACAGTGCTCTGGGAACCTGTGTCCTGTGGCCACCATCCAGGGTGCCCATGTGGGACACTGTTCCCCAGTCCCTGCTGCAGGCTGGCTGTGGCCCAGGACACCGAGCTCTGGATGGTGGGGTGTGTGTCCTCTGAGCACATTCAGGACCACAGGCCAAGGGCGAGCACCGTGTCACTTTTTCTGCCCCTTGAGGACAGCATTTTGGCACAGATGTTTGCAGGGCTGGGGTTCAGCATCTGCAACGTGCTCTCCCTGGCGTTCAGGCTGAGCTCTGTCCTCGTGCAGCTCGGTGCCACTCTCTTCAGCCTAGCTAGATATTAGCGTGGCCCTTGCTCTGACACAGTGACTGCCACACACTTACTGGACACCGGTGACAGTGAACTAGTGATGTGGGCAGCAGGGTCTCAGGGACACTGGCAGGAGGTGCCTGGAGAGGAGGTGCCTACGGGGTCCTGCTGACAGGCGCAGGCTGCAAGCCCCTCGCTCAGTTCCGGGAAGCACACACTGGCACGCTGGTGGTGCCATTCAGGAAAGGCCTGGTGTGACGGCTGGCTCCCCTGCAGTCACTGCTCAGCATCGCGGGATGAAAGAGCTGGAGGAGCAGCAGATGGAGTGACACCGCAGGCGTGCTGTCCCCTCACCGGAAGGGAGAGGGGCCACAGGGCTTCCGAGACACAGGTCAGATCTTGGATGACACCGTGAGGCTCAGCAGCAGGTGTGGCACAGCCCAGGCCCTGCCTGTCCCTTTGCCTGGACACCATTCTGGGGCCGCCCGGGAGGCCTCACCCCTCCTCGGTCCTGCCGTACTCTGATGGTGCCACTGACACTTAAGATCTTCAGGAAACAGGCAGAGAGATGGACACGAAAATAATTGCTCTCCCCTTGCAAAAAGAAGACCATCGAATGTGAAAGCAGGCGTTTAATGTGACACCATTAAGTAGATTTATGCATCTCACACGGCAGGATTTTTTAAAACATAAGAAGTTAGAAATTAAAAGTAGGTATATGCTTCCTATAGTCGGATAAATTCATTTCTATTAGTTATTATTTAAATTTCAGGTAGGGAGAAACGATCTGGGAAGAGGAGGGCGGATGTTGAAGCAGGCCCACCACACCATTCTAGACAGCGCGCCGGCACCTGCGCCCCGCTCCACCTGTCTCTGTTGTGCCTGGCATGGGTGTCACACGAAGGCAGAAGGGGCGGGTGGCCCTGGGCGGGATGGGGTCTTCTCCATGCTCAGCGCTACAGAGGGGTCTGTGGCTCCCCCAGCTATCGGGGCGGTAAACCGGTGCTCAGATGTGACCTCAGCAGTTCGGAGCCACGCAGAACCCGGAGTTCCACTGACCACCCCGGGAGCAGGAGGCCTGAGCCTCCCCGGGCTGGGTGCCGGTGACAGTGAGGCCGGGGCATCTACACCTGTCGTCCAGGACTGGGCCTCCAAGTGTCCCCTGGGCCCCTGGGCCTTGGGACCCTTGGGGCTCACTGACCACCCACACCCACTGCAGTCTGGTTGCCTCATGGGAAAGTGTGTTAGGGCACCTGGCCCTGCTGTGTGGACATTGTTATTCTCACATGGGTTGTCCTGTGTAGACATCGGGACAAGGTCAGCGTGTCAGTGTGGGACAAGGTCAGTGAGGCCGTGACCTTGGAAAGAGTGGTGGAGAGCCAGGGAGCCCCTCTTCCTGTCCGGGGGGTTGTGCATGGCTCAGCTGGCCCTGCACAGTGCTTGGGGGTGGGGCAGGGGAGCTGGTGGCTGCACCTGGGGAGGTCCTCTCTTACCTGCTGCAAGCTGTGGACGCTAACCATGCTGTCTGAGAAGCCCCATGATGAACCAGCCTCTGGGCTGGGGTCAGTCATTGGCACACCTGGTGGTGCTCACGTAGGCCTGCGGGGGCACCCCAGGTGCCCCCCTGCCCTATGCAGCCCCTTTGGCAAGCTGCGCCCACAGCCTGCTCCTTCCCAGACCACGCTGATGCTGCTGACTACCACGTTGCCAGCACAGTAGGATTTGCAGGTAGGAATGTGAATGTGTGCTTTAGGAGAAGAATCGTCTCCAGAACGTGAAAACAGATGCGCTGATTGTCCCCCTCCCTCTAGCTGGATGCCCCCCTCAATCAGTGGAACGAAAGTACACATTTTTAGGAGGGAAAGGTGCCGAGCCGACCGCCTGTGGACCCTGTCCTGTGCGGCCTTGAAGGGAGAGGTGGGCGGAGTCGCGGGGCGGTCGAGGCCGTGGTGCTGCCTACTGGGGCAGGGTTCTCAGGATGGCGTTGACTTCCTCGGCCACAGCCGTCAGTGCAAACTCAAACTGCTCCTGCGGGGACACAGGAAGGAGACAGGCGTGAGTGAGGCTTGGGCTGGTGAGCGGCTCCGCAGAGAAGCTGGGAAAGAGAGGAGCTTGTGACAGACTGGCTGACGTGGAGGGCGTGGTTCTGGGTGGGGCACGTCTGCGGAGCTGGGCAGGAGCAGTGGGACCAGGACCCCCGGAGTCCCCATGCCCTGCCGGGTCCTTCTGACCTTGGGACTCCTCACCCCAGACCCGCCTTCCTGGGATGGAAGGTGAGGTGGGGCAGACAGTGGGGGACATGGCTATTAAAACAGTCACAGTCCTTGCCACGCTGGGCGTGTCCTGTCTATAGACACGGGGAGGTGTGGTGGTGTCGCAGCTGGGAAGCCACCTGCCCCAGCAGCCTTGCTAAGTGATGATGGGTAGCAGACACCCGTGCCTCGGGGAGGGCGTGAGCACCCACATGGGACCTGTCTAGCACAGGGCCAGCCTCAGTCGCCCTGGCGCCAGGCCTGCAGGCTTTGTGAGGGCCAAGAACTGAATGGATTCCCTGTCCTCACAGAGCTGAGGTGGAGATCAGCATTCTGGGCTCCAGTTTCCGCCTGGCCACCTCTGGGCACTTGCTGGTCAGCCCAGGTGAGTCATGGGCACCATGGACCTCGCACGCCATTGCGTGGGCAGCTGACTGATGGACTGTCCCGTCAGTGGATGGCACTGTTCCTCTCAGTCATGCTGGTGGGAGTGCTGGTGTGGTCTGGTGCCAGCCCCGCAACCTCATGTGGTGACCCTCCATGGTCTGTGGCCACGCTTGCGGTAGTGTTCTCTCGGCTGGTTACCTGGATGGCGCCCAGGAGCCGGGGAGAGGACCCCGCATTCGAGTGTGCTTGTGAGAGGAATTCATCCAAGGGACGCACGAAAATGATGCCAGAGGCTGCACCCAAGGAAACGGCCCCGGCTGTGGTGGGTAACAGAGACACTGGCTTTCGCCAGAGCTGGCCCTCAGGACCTGCGCTGCCAGGTACCGTGACTGGGGATCCCTGGTGACGGTGTTGCCTTGAGGGGTGGGGGCTGGGAGCAGACCATGACCACAGACATGCATGTGGGCCCAGCCACCGCGGAGCAGCCTCACTGGGAGGCCGTTCCCTCGTGCAGTGAGCGGGCCTGGGCCCTCACCGCGGGGGCCTCGTGGCGACGACAGCACCTGGGCGTCTGGTCTCTGGGCCTGTGCTGCCTTCGACCTTCCTCTTCCTTGGGGGTGACTGGGTCTTGTACTGGCAGGGACACTTGTTAGATGCCCCTGCTTCCCGAGACCTAGCTTGCTAGTGCCGTGGGCCACCAGGAGGTGGCCCAGTCTCAGGGCCACATCACATGCGCCCCACATCCAGAGGCGTGGCTCCCTGGGCAGGGGATGACTCCAGCCTGTGTGAGGGGTGCTCAGCCGGGGCACTGTCCACTGTCCTTCCTGAGGGCGGCTGGCCTGCAGCTCTGCAGCCTCAGTGGTGGGGACTTCTGTAAGTTCTGCCCCCGGGCGCTACCCCGAGCACACATCTCGGGATGGCCCTGCCCCAGGATGAGGACCCACAGAGCGGGCCTGCACGAGGTGCTGGTGTCTGGTTTGCTGCAGCGGCGGGCTGAGCCTGCTCGTCTTGCCTCACCTGACGCTGGTCAGGTCCACGCCTAGGAGATGGCGGGCGAGCTCCCTTCCTCCTCGCTGTGCCCTGCCATGGCTCGTTCAGGCAGGCTGGCATCTGGGGCACAGTGGCTGTGTGCCCTGAGGCTGGTTTTATGGAATAGGCCTTGCTTGGGATGAGGCGCACGTCTACACTGAGTGCAGAGGCCAGGCAGGCAGAGATGACTGGCTTGAGTTTCCTACTGTCACCACGGAGTAGGGTCAACTCACGTCTAGCTTTGTCCATGGCAGAGCTCACTGTCACACGGCGTGACGTGTCCCTGTCCACTCGAGTCACCAGCCTCTGCTGCCTGTCCCCAGCTACCTGCATCTCAGGGGCACAGGGAAGCGGGATGGTGCCGGCTGATCTCTGGTGGTGGAGGGGATCTTCCATGGGGCAAGGAACTCAAGGGTCACCTGAAAAGCCGCCGCCTGTGATGCCGCCCGTCTACAGGGGTCCTGAGGCCAGCCTCTCTCCCCTGACGCCGAGATGTAGAGGAAAGGGCCATCGTGCCATGCCGGGACGCAAGAGCCAGGAGGCTGGTGCGCTAGGGCTGTGGCGAGCTGTTGCTCCCTCTGCATGCGCAGCCGCTGTGCCCAGCAGCACCCGCTGCGCGGGCAGGCCACTCTTACAGCTTTTGACTTTCAGCCTCGCATCCGGACAGCAGGGGGCGTAGGAGCCGCCGGCACTGCCCAGAGGGAGCATCTTGGCCAGGCGGCCCAGCTGGGAACCCCGGCGTGGCTCCCGGAACCGCAGCCAGGCCCCGGGGTGCTGGTGATCTCAGCTTTAGGGGCGGCTGCCGGCAGGCAGCGCAGCGAGGGGTCTTGCTGTGATGCTGGGACTGAGCCCAGGGTTTCTCAACGGCAGCCTCTGAAAGATTTTCACACCCTGTGGCCTGCTTAGGGACAGGGTCATTCTGGCAAGGGTGTGTCACAGCAGCCTTCCACATGTGCACACCAACAGCACCCAGAGGGCCAGGATCTGGGCCAGCAGGGAGAGCCGCGCGCCGACTTTGGGTGGTCTATGGGCGTGAGGTCTGACCTTCGCTGTTAGGCTGCCGAGCTCGTGAGATCAGCCCCCGCCTACACCCCACACTCCTGGCCCGAGCTGGGGAGCAATGTCTACACGGCGAGGACACTTGTCCCAGTCACTAGGTCACAGCACCAACTGCTAGAGCCACAACATCAGCCATTCTCGCTCCCCTCCTCGCCTCCCACTAGCCCCCTGCACTATCCGTAAAAGACCCAGCCCAACAAGCTGGACTCAGACTCCTTTGGAGTTACTCCAGGAGGACTCCAGATCCAGGGGCTGTGCTCTCTCCTGGGTCATCACCAGGTACCTAACACCTGGTTCCGAAACCCAGGAGGTGGCACCTTCTGCCCCCATCTGGCGTGTGGCCCCCGCCTACCCTTCTGGGTGATACGAACCAGGGCCCTCACTGCCTCCGGCCCACCAGAGACCTCTCCCTAGCATCTCCTCTGCCTAGAGAGATGAGGAGTCTTCTGGGAGCACCCTTGGGTGCTTGTCCCTGCAGTCAGCCGCAAGTCCTCATCAGGCCCTGCTGTCAGCTGTGGCCTGGACACAGACCCGCTTGGGTGTGGGCTGCTCTGTCAGTTCTTTATTCCAGCTTCGGCTTCTGTGTTGGGGGCGTTCCCTTGGATCCCACTGGCCTTTTCCCATCGGACGTGCTCAGCCCTGGCCATGGAGGAGCTGCCTCTGCCCCCCTGGGGATTCCGCCCCGGGTTTCCCCTCCAGAGCCTGCCTCCACCTGGTCTTCAGGTTCATCTCAAGCCAAGGTACCCCGTCTCTTTCTGCAATATGGCTGGGCCACATTATGAGGCGCTCTTTGGCCAAAACATGTGTTTTCCATTTTCAGATCCTCTCTGACCTTGAATGCTCTCTCCAAGCCCAGACGGGGGGGAGGCTGCTGGATCAGGCCTTTCACCCTTGCTTTACACGCTCTGCACCTCTCATGGTGGGCCACAACTCATCCCTCTAAGGCCAGCCTTCAGCCTGACTTCCTCATGCTAAACTCCGATCGCACAAGGCTCCTCCTCAGCACCCCTCACCCCTTCCTTGCTGCCTGTGACTCAGCCTTCCTCCCAACAGCCAGCCCTGCGGGATCTCTAGCCCCTCTACCCTTTGCACCCCATTTCCTTCTCGCCAAGCCCTTCCCGTTGCACTGTGGATTTCCCCCTTCTCCCATATTCCTGTCATCCGCACCTCTACTCTCTCCCCTGGCGAGGGGCAGCACGTTTGGCCAGTGGTCGCCTATGCAGCTGGTGGGGCCCACTACCCAAGTTGTCGCAGAGACCCTGGCAGCTGCTGCTCCTCGGCAAGACTCTCGGCGGAGCCACGAGCTGCTTCACAGAGAATGGGCAACGCCAAGGCTTTACCTGACACATTCTCATCAGTCTAAACAGTCCCACGAAGCCCACCCGCTCTGACAAAATCCACAAACATCGACCCAGACCCCCAAGAGCCGGCTCAGCCTATGGCCCTACTCACAGAGACACTAGAAGCCAAGCCCCCTTTTTCTCAGGTGATTTCATTTCTCAGGCAGCCCCTGACACCAGGACAAAGTTCTGAAAATTTAAGCATGGTCCTCAAACCTGCGGCTGATCTCCTGTTTGCTGTATTCAGTGTCTACTGAAACAGAAGTTGGCAGAGAAGACTCCAGAAAAGACCGCAGTCAGCCTGCCCTCAGCTTGTCATATCAACAGTCCAGCTGGGACAACTACCCAAGCAAAGCCTGAAGCCCCAGGGCTTGCTTCAGTGAGACAAACAGGGCACTGGGTAAAGCAGTGCCCAAATCCATGCCCCAGGAAGCCCCGCCCCTGATGTGGCTTAGAGGGCTGCCAGAAGCTGGGCTGTGCCCGCTCCAACTCGGGCACGCGGCCCTGCACATGCCGCCCTGCACACCAACCTGGCGGGACCTGTCTTCTAGCTGAAAACTGAGGGGGCCAGCACACACAGGCCCAGGCTGTCCTCTGGTCACGGGGAGTCTGTTTCAGTTCTCCTCACATTGGGGCCACATGGACCTCTTCCTCGTCCTTCTTGAAACCTGCAGCTAAATCTCCAGGGCTGCAGGGAGCCGAAGGCCAGGCTTCTCCTCCTATGTGACAGCATCCTTCCAGGGCCGCCTCATGACTCCAGTGTCCTCCAGCCCGGAACCACAGTCACCCTCCCAAATCTTCCTTCCCTCGCCGCCGACGGTCTGCGCCCTTGTCCTCCCTCACTCTCTCCTCAGGTCTCAGTGCCACAGGCTCCCGAGACCTTTACCTCCACGCACGGACCTCATCTCAGGCCTGGCCCTCAGCCCACTGGATGGTCCTTTCCTCAAGGCTTCGGACAGGCCTGCTTGCTTGCCAGGCTGTTGGCCAGAGTCCAGACGCAACAAGGCGGCTCTGCAGCCCCTCCCCCCGGGCTGCCCCTTGGACGCCTCCCTCCCGCTCTCCTCTCAGGGATGCCTGTCTCCTCCCCCAGCACACCCACACGCTCGGGCCCCTGCTGGCCCTAATGCCATCCACACCTGCTTTCCAGCAACCTCCTGAGATCTCAACCGCTTCCCAATGTGCAGGCCCTAAAGTCCCCTCCCGCAGGCAACTAGCTCCTGGTTCATAGATGAATGTTCTTGTCAAGCCCCCAGTGGACGTGGGCACAACCTGTGCTACGTCCCTCACCCTGACACGTATCCAAGAGCCACCTACTCCCCCAAACCACCTCCCCACAAATGAAGCCCATAGCCCTAGCCCCAGCACTTCACTGGCTTCTTCTGCCTGGCATTCTCCTCCCTGAAAGACTACAAAAGAGCCGGATCTACTGCCTTCCCTCGTTCTCAGATCGTAGCCATTAAAGCCCCTGTTCCTGGTCAGAATTTGTACCAGGACCCCTCATATCTGAGCCCACTGAAACAACCCCCAGCCCTGAATCCTTTTGAACTCACAGACAGCTGCTTCTTTCCTCGGCTGCACCCCACTTCCAGTGCCCCCGAGTCCCACACTCACTATTCCCCTCCCCCAGCTCTGGCCAGCAGGCCCTGCTCCAGAGCCTTTGACCAGCACGCAAGCCCCCTACGGTCCTCTCAATCCTCAATCCTCGTTTCTGCCACCTTCCTGACCTGCCCCTCTGATTACCTTAGAACCCAAGACTCCACCACCTCTTCTTCGCGGCAGGTTTCTCCCAAAAGCCTCTTCATCCTCAGGACTGTCACTCCCTGAACTCGCCTGCTTTAGCTCTCCCTTGTGCCGACATTCTTCCCTCCACCCCAACTTTGCTCCCAAGATAATCACTGCCCTCTGGCTCCGGAGAACCACCTCGGGCCCACTCAGCCCAGGTGAGCTTCTCCAGTGGCTGCCTCCACAATTTTTTTTTTTTTTTTTTTTCTTTTTGAGACAAGGTCTCGCTATGCTCAGACTGGCCTGGAGCTTACTTTGCAGCCCAGGCTGGTCTTGAATTTGCAAGGGTCCTCCTGCTGCAGCCTCCCGAGTGCTGGGATGACAGGCGTGCACCACCGTGCTGGCTCTTGCCTCCACTTCTTGCTAAGCCAGCTCATTCCCCTCCTGACAGGAGTCCCCACAGAAAACAAATCCTGACTGCCCTGCCCTGCTCCTCACTGTGCCTCTTGACCTCTCCAAAACAGTCTAGCACATCGCTAAAGTCTCACTGACCTGCGAGACCCTGGCCTCACTGGGTGTGGGTGCCTTCCCAAGCCATCGAGGCCTATGCATGCTTGCCTGGGGGCAGGGGCTCTGTGCCTTCCTCCTGGAGACCTATTTTGCCACGAAGTCCAGACCCACTCAAGACATCATCCGATAGCTGAGCGATCGAGTCACTGCCCTGCCAAATCAGGCCTTGTCCTGGCTCCTTCCTGGCTGTCTCAGTGCCCCTGGAGCTCCAGCCTCCTGCCCCTCTCCTCTGAGTCACACCTGCCCTGTCTCTTTGAGCCCCTGTCCAGTTTTAAAAACCTCTCTGTTTGCCCCTCAGGTGCTCACCAGTTGTCCCTCCCAGCCCCACAACTCCCAACTCTCACACCTCCCCTTTGTGTCACCCCACCTAGGCCTACCCCATAACTCCCGACTCCACCTGGGAAAGACCCAGCTCAGTAAACTAGACTCGGACTTCCTCTGGAGTTTCCTCCTGCCTGGACACTCCAAATCCAGGCTGGCGTGTGCTGTGCTGGGTTGTCACTGTCTATCTAACAGTGGACCTGCAAGAGCTCCAGCTGCCAGACACAGATGTGTCTGGGATGCTCAGGGAAGAGGGAACCGGAGCAACCTCCACTCTAGGTCTGGTTAGGGAGGAAGCTTTTGTGTTTACCCCTGTTGCTACAATCTGGCTTTCAGGGAGTGAGCTATTTTGGGGGCATGGGGTCCCTCTCCATCCTAGGGGCCACTCTCTGTCTTCATGTTAAGGGCCGGCACATGGCCCAGCTGTGGTCAGGGAGGCAGAAGGAGGAGGGTGCCAGGTGTGTTTGGTGAGTGGGGACTCCCCCTGGGACTCTGGGTTTTGCCTTTTCTTTCTTTCTTTGAAAATTCAGTTTTCTTCCTTTGGCTGTTAATTGGGCTTCCTACTTGAGCTCCGCCTGCATCTGCGGACACTGGCAGTTCGCAGGGCTGTGGGAGACCCTGTGACCCTCTCAGGAGGGCCTGGGTGCCCCTGCCTGCAGGGGATGGGGTGGCCAGTGGCAGCCGGCCTGCTTCTGATCAGCTGAGCCCCTCTCTGCTCTCAGGAAGCAGCTGCGCAGATGCACCTCGAGCACCCCGGAAGCCCCGCAGGACTGACTGACAGTACCTTCGTCTGGACCATGCCCGGTCTCTGGTCTCTCAAGTGCTCCAGGGTCGCCGCAATATCAATCTCTTTAGCACCTGCAACAAACCACAAATTGGGCTGAGTTCAGCGCACAAGATAATCCACGCCACATCTGTCAATCTCCTGCTATCGGGCTCCCTCTGGGCAAAGAGGCCAATTGAAAATTATTACACTCGTCCCTCAGCAGGCTTGGCAGGCAGCTGCAATTTCAGTGTTCATATAGAAAATAAGGCGAGGGCAGCTTTCATTAGCATTAATTCGAGAAAGCCGGGCTGAAAAATGGTCCTGAGATGCCTTTGTAGACGCCGTACTTAGCACCGGCAGCTGCTGCTGTTGGAAACCGAAGCTGGGGATGTTTTGGGGCCTCTTGACTGGCTTAGCTTAGAGCAAGCAGTGTGTGGTCTAGTTCTGATTGCAGAGTTATTTCTCATTTATGGAAAGCAGGTCGGGAAGTCTCCTGTGGCTAACGCTGGCTTTGCACGTAGAGCTCCCTGTGCCTAGCGCTGAGTGCTGCAGCCGCCAGGAAAGGCCGCCGCCGCCGTGACAAGGGAGCAAGACGCATCCGTGGCCGCACGCCGGGGAACAAGCCGGACGCGCCCGGCATGGCAGGGCTGGTGCGGAGGGCTCAGGCAAACGGCTGCCCGGTCTATGCGCCAGGCGCGTCCTCCCCACCACGCTTCAGGGAGCCTCGGGGTGCCTTAGTGGTTGTGGTGTCCTGGGGGCCCCCATGCTGTGGCCTGCGGAACCAGAGGTGGTGGAGCAGGAGGGAGGGGAAACGACCGAAATCTGGGCCAAGGGAGCTGGGAGAGGCACGGGGTGGGTGGCACCCAAGGGGATGCGTTGGAATCAAATGTCACCTCTGCATAAAGGAAAACAGCAAGAGAAGCAGCCCAGGAAACCCGCAGCATCGCTGCCCGGGGCACAGCACTGGCCACACCAGCCTGGGCCCAGCCTGCACATCAGCGCCATGGCCTCTGAGAGCTGGGCAAGGGTCAGGCCTGCTTTGCTCTGTGCAGCCCTGCAGGGCTTGAAAGGCTGCAGGTGCAGGGGAGGCCTCAGGACACACCACTTCATTTTAAAGGGAATCCATGCATTTAAAGCAGTGTGGAACTGAAGGGGGAGTTTCAGGGGTGGCTCAGGAAGAAAGGAACTGCAGCCTGCTGCGTCCTCTTGGGAGCCACTGTCCCCTGGCAGTGGGGCCGCGCAGCTGAGTGACAGTGACAGTGATGGACTCGCAGGGAGTCTGGCTTCTCCTGGGATACGTGGGAGAGGTGGCTGCAGGACACCAGCCCGATAGCACTTTCAGGGTGATGGACCTTCAGCTGTGAAGGATGCCATCCAGAGACAGCGTGGAGCTGGGCAGCACATGGCCTCTCCCTCCACCTCACCCCTGAGGTCTCCCAGGGACACAGAGCGCAGGCTGGGCTGATCTCGCGCAGAGAATGCTGTCCTGGCAATGTTTAACAACAGCGGTTGATGACAGTGTCATGAAGAAACCCGGCAGCCTCCCACAAGCACCCTAAAGCCCCACAAGAGTACACCTCGGTCCCAGGAGAGTATGGTGCCGGGCCCTCCCTCTCACCAAGGAGGCAGCTTCCGCAGTGTTGGCGCTGCCCGCCACCTGGGGATGTGAGTGGCCTCAGGGCTTCTCATGAGCACCCCAGCCAGGCCTGAGGCTGAGCGGTAGGGACCGTGTCCTGTAGCAGCCACTGCGCTGTGTATCTTGGGTGGTGCTCTGGGCCTGGAGACCGGTTCTGAAGAGCTCATCAGGACTGGGATAGGGTGTCACACAGATGCCCACTGGTTTCTAAGAAACTTTTGTGACACAGAAAGAGCACAAAATGCCGAGCTGGAATCCGATGTGGGCTGCTGGCTCTGTGGAATGGGTGTGGCTCTGTATTGGGGTCCAGGCCCTGCTGCGGTTGTTGGGGGGGACCCACTGTCCTGCAGCCGGGGCTATACCAGGGCCCTGGGAGATCAGATCAATGATGCAGTGACCTTTAGGGTTTGGCGAAGCTCACCCTGTGACACTCGGGGCAGAATGTGGCCCTGCGGCGGCTGTTGAGCCCTCTGACCCTGGGCCTCCTTGGACTCAACAGAGGACCATTTCAGTCCTCTGAGGCTGTCGTGCTGAGGGTGCATCTGGGATGCAGACTCAAAGCTTCGGCCGTGATGTGGCCCCAAGGGCTGTCTGTGCCGAAGTGTGGGGGTACTGTCAGCACTGGGAGTAGACCATGTCTCAGAACCCGGGAGCTGGGGCAGCATGGTCAGAAGAGCCTGGGCTGCGTGGGCAGCGACACGGGCAGTGTTGCTGAGGGCAGACCAGGGCCAGGCCGGTCCACGGATGAAACAACACAACTGCAACCCCCTGCTTCATGGCGCTAGGTGCCCTTTCACATGACTGTTCTGAAGAGTGGAAAGCCAGGCGCGATGGCACACGCCTGTAATCTCAGCACTCTGGAGGCTGAGCAGGAGGATCATTTCGAGTCTGAGGCTAGCCTTGGCTACAAAGTGAGCTCAAGGCCTGCCTGAACTGCATAGTGTGACACGTTCTCAAAAGGACAAAAGTAAACACAAAGAAAGAAAGTAGGAAAGGGAAGCAGAGTACCCCAAGGTTGCCCCATGGGGCATGTCCACTGCCAGAAATATCGGGGAGACGTGCGTACCTTGCCTGGCTGACACCAAGGCTGAGCAGTGGAGGAAATCAAATTAATGCTGAGAAAAACAGCACTAGTGAGGTAAGTAATGGATTTGTAAGTATAATCGATTTCTAAGGTGGATGGCTAATATCTTCTTGCATGCTAGAATTAAGAATAATTAGTTGTGTGAAGTGCATGTGGAGACGGCCTTAATCCCCAACAAGGGGCACAAAGGCACAGCTGACAGCCCGGCGTAGCCTGCACTCTCTCTAGCCACCCTGCACCAGGGTGACTCTTGGCAGGCAGAGGGGTGGGCACTGTCCACTCTCCTCGTGGCCGGGCCCCTGCCCGGGAGCTCCTCTGGCAGGTGTAGCAGGGTTGTCTCCAAGAGGGTGGAGCCACAGCTGACGGACGTCCCATCGCAGGGGCCAGTGATGCTCAGGTGAGAGTGCTGTGGACAGCCAGGGTTCTGGGCATGGTAGATCCGGCAGAGTAGGGTCGGACCCTGGGGCCACAGCGGGAGTTGGGGTGCTGTCTGGCTCAGTGGCCCCAGGAAGGTCCACCCCCAGGCTGTGTGCGTTCTGAGGGCCACAGCTCGGCTCCTTGTGGCTGTTCACCCTCTGGGAGTTGTCCAGCATGGTTCGGAGGCACCCACTATGTCACGGCACCTCCAGTCTGGGTGGCTGAGGAGTCTGCACACTCCTTTTTCTTTCTTTTTGAACATATATTTTCAAGACAGCAGAGGCTTTTTGAAAGCTTTAGATAAAAAGTATTATCCAATAAACATTAAAAGAACATTAGTAGTAAAGTATTAAAACTATTTTTCACAATGAAAGAATCAATTTGAAGCTGGAGCAAACCAAGCAGCTGCACCCCTGGCACCTCTTCATGATGTTTGCTTTGCTTTCTCGGCAGCTGGGTCCTGGCTGCCTGGGGACAGTGGACACCCTCACATCCTTCAGGTGGACGTGCCCTGGGTGGCTCCTCTTGGGGACACTGGTCGAGGCTGCCCGGCTGCCCTGCTGCCCACACTGCTTGGAAGTGAGTTGAGGAAGCTCATGGGTCTCCTTGCAGCCTTCTCACCCAGCAGAGTCTCAGCCTGCAGCACACAATGTGCTCTTTACTGACACAGCAAAGGATGTTGTGTCCAATGTCCCAGAGAGAAAGGCCTCCTGCCCAGGGAATTTTCTAATTCTACCCTCTGAACACCCGCCTGCCCCAAGGCGGGAGGAGCCATTTGCACCAGCTTGGGGGTGTCTTGGTTTGTGCCTGTGGGTGGGAAGGGCTGCACAGGAAGTCCTCGGTTGCCCTACCCCCGGGGCCCGTATAGACACAGAGCTGGGCAGCCAAGGGCATGGCCTGAACCCCGCACAGCCAGCAAGACGGGGCCTGGCTCGAGGGAGCAGGGCTGCGCGGGCGCTGGAGTCGGGCACATGTGCCTACACCACAGCTGGGCACCAGCTGCCTCTGGGCACTGACCACGCACTGCACACATTCAGACACACAATGTGTGCCCACCACACACTGTACACACACATGCGCCACTCTGTCACATCACTGCATACACATACGAGAACCACACATGCAAAACACCTCACCACATACACCCGTGCTGGAGCTGTCACACACGCGAGATGGCCCATCACACAAGCACAAGACATTATGCGTGCACAACAGCCCCCTTCACACCTGCACACATATGAGGCATCATACACACACCACTGCCCACCGCACACACACACCCCTTTGTGGGCCTTTTGCACTGAATTTTTGCTCACACTCTTATGTGTGAACATAACTACAGACTTAAAATAATTGAGCCAGATGTGGGGGTTAATGCCTGTAATCCTAGTACTTGGGAGGCTGAGGCACGGGGATTGCAGCAAGTTCGAGGCCAGCCTGGACTGCAAAGTGAGCTCAAGGCCACCCTGGATTGTATAGTGAGACCCTGTCTCACCCTCAACCCCCAAAAGAAAGAAGTTATAAGCAGGGAGGTTTTTTGCTGACCCACATATACTATAAGCTCGTTTTACAATATTTTGGTGGGATTGAAGGAGAGAAATCTGTGCCACATTCATTTGGAAATTGAGTATATAGCATTTGAGACAAAGTAGGCATCGTGCTTCTTCTTTTGAACAGACTTGCAATCATTTGTGTGAAGAAAGTGAGGTGCCTCCAAATCTTTATAAATGAAAGCTGAATGAAACTCAGGGCGTTTAAGTGTGGACTGCTGGGTGAAGTCTTCTTCACTGCTCCTGGAAATGAGTGAACCATGCAGAACCCGCTGCTCCTGCCAGCTCCTGAGCGGCAGCGAACACCGCAGGTGATCCATCTGACTGGCTTCCTGGGACACGGGGGGTTCAACTCAGGGTGACAGAGGTGTCCTGACTGTGACCTAAGCATCCCCCCAACAGTGTGCTGCCTGCCTCAGCCCAGTGACCCGGTGTGTGGGCCGCCCACCTCAGGCTGTGGGAGGGTGCTGGGCAGAAGGGGCAAGGCTCTGGCAGCTGCCCAGGTGCAGGGCAACTGCGGATGGAGAAATCCTCCAGGCTCTGCACTGGGGCCCTGGAGTCATGGAGGCCATGTTGGCAGGGGCTAGGTGACAGGGAGGAGAGGAGAGAACTCCAGGAGAGACCAGATATGCAGTCCCCACCCGCAAGCTGTGCCTGTTCTCCTGGCCCAAGTGGCACCTTCACGGCTTACAGTCGTGTGTCTGAAAGAATGGTGACTACACCTGTAGCTACAAAGAGAGCAGACTTTGCAGGAGAACAAAGGGAGAGGCCTGGGGCACATTGGCCAGGCCACAACTGGCAGGGAAAAAGGTCCTGCATTCCGTGGTCCTGCAGGAAGAGCATGGCTGAGAGTGGGGCAGTGACAGAGGCAAGCAGCCCAGGGCCCTGGAGATGCCACGTGAGGTGGGGAGGGGTAGATACAGGTCAGAGCCGCGGGCCACGGCAGGAGGTGCAGTCCTGAGCCACTGCCGGGGACCGTCTGTCTCACAGTTACCTGGTGGCTCTGCCCGCTGTGCTGTGTGCCCAGCCTCCCCAAGGATGAGCCCTGTGGCTTTTATTCAGTCTCAATTAAAGCAGCTGAGGAGGCCGTGCGTCGACTGCACCGTGTGGGGGCGCTGCTCTGCAGCGCTCAAGGGCAGCAATTGGCCGTGATGGAGAAAGATCCTCCGGCTCCCTGTGCAACCGGGCAGCCTGGGCACGCCAGTCGTGAGGGCAGCCGGCCTCGCTGGACTCAAGCCGCGGGTCCCTCCCGGCCGTCCCCCAGGCCCGCGCCCCTCTCGTGAGGCGCAGGGGTCTGTGCCCCCAGATGCAGCACCAACAGCACAGGCAGTGAGAGAAGCGCTTCAGAGAAGTCTGTAGTGACGGCCTGGGTGCTTCCGGGTGCTTTCACGCTACAGGGGCCATGCTGGAGGCTCACTGGCTGAGGGGTGCCACGTGGGCCAGGGAGCCCTGGAGCGAGAGCACCGCCCATCCGGAGGGCAGGGCTGAGCCCACACCAGTGCCTGGCAGCTGGGCAGATGGCTACAAGCGCACGGGAAGATGCTCGGTGCCACAGGGAGACAGACCGAGGCCGCACAGGGGCTGCCTCGCAGCTCGGGTCAGCAGTGGCGAGCAGCCCAGGGCAGCGCAGTGGGCAGAAGCCAGGATGCTTGTGCTCTGGGCCGAGACTCGCCCTGATCCAGCAGCACCTTCCTGGGGACATAGCTCAAGAACAAGGCTAGGATCCCAGCAGGGGTCAGAACACCCAGGTCTGGAGTGTCGCCATTTGCCACAGCCGAAGGGCGGAAACCCTAGCAGCATCCAGTAACACAGGGATCCTCCGTGCGGGGGAGTAGTATTCAGTCATGAAAAGGAAGAATCCTGACCCAGGTGCTGAGCCCAGGGGACCTCTGCTGCAGCGTTCACAGGCGCCTGGCACTCCTGGCGCAGCAGACTTGGGTGCTCGTGCACCAGAGGGCACACCCCCACCTGTGGCCCGGCAGGGCTGCTGCTCTAACGCTCCGGAGCTCTGCACGGCAGCAGAGCTGGGCCATGCCCACCCACAGCGGGCTCCTCTGACTCCCGGCGGCAGCGTGGTGCGGTGCAGCCTTGTGGCCAGGTGCCGAGTCCACGCTGCCCAGCTGTGCTGCTGGCCAGAGAGCCGTGCAGGGACAGGGATGCTCTGGGCTTGGAGGGATGAGGAAACGGAAAGGCACGTGTGGGGGCAGCTTGGCTGGAATCCGCTTCTGCTGGGGGCGCGCTGACCCCCGGTGGGGGCCGGGGGCCGGGCTGCCAGGACCCCATTTGTCCCCCAGCAGCAGGACCAGCAGGCTCTACCTCCTGCCACCGACTCCTCTGCGGATGCTAGCGCCTGCTTTGGTTTCCAAGCGCGTCTTTGTCTGCGTGCTAAAGCACTCAACGGCGGAGAGCGCCGCGATGGTTCTGAGGCTGCTCTTCAGGCCTCACGCTTACTCGCAGGCCGGCCTTAATCCCTAAAGGCTGAGAGAGCCCTGCCCGAGCCACACAGCTGGGCCCTGGCCGTGCCCTGCCCGAGCGAGTGGCGGCCGCACGGGAGCTTTGCAAAGCATTCTTGGGGGCCGCACAATCCACTCCTTTCAAGAGAGGGAAACAGGAAGAAAGGCTTGGGGCCTTTGATCACTTGATGAGCGCCAGGCTGCAATGTGGGCCTCCAGCTTCTCAGGCCAGACAAAGACGCGGGCAACACGGGACAAAACCCGGCAGCCTGGGGGGAGGTGGCCTGGGAAAGGCCGCTCGCCCTTTGATCTCCCCCGAGACCGCGGGGCCGGGTCAGGGGATTCACACCGGGAAGGGGAGCAGGTCAGGAGCAGAGAGGGTGAGCAGCCCCAGAGAAAGCCGCAGCCGGCCCTGTGGCCTGTTCCGCACCACTGGGCTTGCACTGCAGGGCTCTGAGCCCACACTTTGAATGGAATCTGATGCTGCATGGTTGCACGGTGTGGTGGCCAGCACCCTGGACAATAGCCTGCCCTCCGTTCCGGCCAGCATCTCCCCATGCCACTCCCACGGGGGGCAACGGTGTCTCTGGAACTCTATCACTGAGGGGCTCCACACACCTACTCAGGGCCCTCCGTGTGGAGGAGCAAGTGCCCCTTCTCAGCAGGCTAATATGTGTTTATGACAGCAGCCAGACAGGCAGAGGTAAAACGTGCACGTTGTTCTGGGGGGTATTTTGAGCAACAGAGGAAAACGTACTGGAGACAGAGGGTGGGCGATGAAGGAAGAACTGTAAATCCTGTCGGTGCTCTGAGCTCCAATTTGCACAAGAAAGAGTGTTTAAGGAGGAGACAGAAACAGTAACAAAGACGAAATGACTTTGAACTAAAAGTTGGGATTACGCTGTGTTCTACTACGAACAGCAACCACGCACGCACGTGTTCTGCCGGCTCGCCTGTGCACAGCCCTGACACTCAGCTAACTCAGGTGGTACAGACCCCCCCCAGGTCTGGCGGTAGCAGGGGAGGGCAGTGCACCCCGGCCCCAGCCACTGGGAACCTCGGGTGCCTTGGCCCAGCCCCAGGACCATGTGACACGTGGGCCTCTGCTCCCCGTCACACACTGCAGCCAGCTAAAGAGGGGCGCTGGCTTCTTTTCCTTTGTTGCCAGAAGAAAATGGAGCAGGAAAGAAGCCTGCCATGGCATTTGTGCACCGGGTGCAGGGGAACCCAGGTCTGCACCCTGGGTCAGCAGAGGGGCATGCCCCTGCACAGAGGGGTGACTTGCACAGCCTGTGTGTGTTCAAAGCCTGGGAGACTGCAAAGCACACCTAGCTCTGTGCTTCCCGGAGCCTGACTTTCAGCAGGTGCTGCAGGCAAAGCAGCACTCGAAAGGCCCAGGCTGAGGCAAGCTGGGGGCACCCAGTGCAGCTCAGTGCCTGGGACCCAAGGGTGGTTCCCCACGGACCTCTGCTCGGCCTGCAGCTCTGGTTCCCATTCCACGATCATGGAGACCCTGGGGCCCTGGCCAGATGCCTCTGGGGGGCAGAATGGCGGCAATGGGTGCTGAGCTGCTGCCGTGGCCCTGTACTGTGCAGTGGTCCCTGAGGGGCGACACTTTGTTGCCTAGGCACTGTCCCCACTCTGTGTGAGGGAATTTGGTCCGAGGGCCTGATGCGCATGCACAGGCCCTGGGATCCACCCAAGCACTGCAATTACCATCATTCCTTTGAGGCCTGGGAGCTCATGCTGCATGACAGGAGCACGAGAGATTTTGAGGAGACCAAGTTCTTTGTGCAAAGACAGCTTTAACTGCAGCGAGGAGCTGCTCCAACAGTAAGGACGTCTGAGCCTGCTGTGGCCTTTTAAGATTCAAGCTAGACTCTCCCAGGCTCTGATGTGGTCTCACAGTGGCTGTGGTGGGTTCTTATCGAAGCCCTACTATGTGCCCAGCACCTGCCGACTGATAACAAAGGCCCAACTGCAAACATAAATGTGCTTGCTGTAAACAGCCTTCAAATAATTCAGGACAGGGACAACAATCTGGTGGTGATTTTCTCCAAGGACTCCGTGGAGTAGTACACCCCGCGTTGCTGTGGCAACGCCTCCCGTTGCCCAGCCACAACAAAGCAGCCTGACGCACGCTCTCACCTTTGGCCATCTTATTGAGAACCATGTCGATCAGGATGTAGGTTCCGCTCCTGCCGGCGCCGTCGCTGTCAACGGAAGCAGAGAGGGTGAGGATGCTGTCTGCCCCACGAGCAGCCCCTGGAAGCCTTCATGGGGCTGGAGGAGGGGAGGCGCAGGGCAGGGGACCAGCATGGTGTGGGCACGCTGGCTTCCTTTTCCTCCACCCTCTGGCTAAAGATGGCTAAATCTTGTCAGGAAACAAAGGAAATAGAGAACTGTGTGGCTGAGTCGGAGGTGATAGCGTCAGGTTAAAAATGTCCCCAGCGCACTATCCCTGTACCCGAAAGGGCCGCCAGCCTGGTCATGTGTCTGCCCTCCCGGTCGCCTGTCCTTCCTCCCAGCAGCGGGAATGTGCGTAGTGCCTGTTCCCGCATCGAATCGCAGTCCTGGAGAGGGCTCTCGCGCAGCCAGAACAGGGGTGTCTGCCGCCTGGACTGGGGCTGCAGGGGCAATGCTCTTAACGCCATCTCCGCAGCCAACTGGAGAGGGGAAGTTCCTGTTGTGGGAGGTGGGCAGCCGCTGTGTCACCCTCTTCCTGTGACAAGAGTGCAGGCCGCTCCTTTCCCAAGGGGCTGCCTTCCGAGGGAGGGAGACAGGCTGAGGTCAGATGGGCCTAGCCCTGAGCGCAGCGAGGTTGGCTGGTGCGCAGAGAGCACTCACAGTGCTGTTCCCGCGGGAAGCAAGGCAACTTTGAGGAGAGCAGGAAGGCTTCCGTTTTGAGACTTTAAGAAGTGGGCCGGGCATGGTGGCCCATGCTGCTAATGCTGCATTGGTCGGCGGAGGTAGCAGGGCCACTGGGAGTCTGAGGCCACCTTAGGCTGCCGCATAGTGAGTTCAAGGCCAGTGTAGCTCACTGCTTAGCAAGATCCTGTCTCAAAAAGCAAACAAAACAAAACAAGTAAAAAGTACATAAGTTGAGCTAGGATGGTGGTGGAGGTCTGGACTCTTGAGGCAGAAGATGGTTGCAGACTCCTAGCCTGGGCAACTTACAACTTGGCAAGAGCCTACCTTAAAATAAAAACAGAAAAAGGCTGAGGATGCAGCTCAGCACAAAGTCCTTCCTTCTATCCCCCATGCTTAAAAAGAAAGGAAAAAACAAAAAAGCACATGACTGGCAAACCACTCTGCCCTCAGCTCCTGCCAGCATGGCGGCTGCAATGCCCTAGAAGCTGGGGAGAGCCGCCAGCTGGCTTTCCTAGTGACAAGGCCCTGCGCTTGGTTTTCACGTTGGGAAGCTGTGGCTGCAGAAACACTTCACCCCATGGGCTTCTGCGCATGTCCGTCTTCTCTGAGTGGTGGTGGCAGGCACATGCCTGTGCTGCGCAGCCTGAACACTTGTCCTGAGTGGTCGCAGCGGGTGCAGGTGCCAGTGCGAGGTGCAGCAGAGAGCCACTGCAGGATTCTGGAGGAGGCACCATCCTCCTGGAGCACAGGGACAGAGCTGTGTCCCCTCACAGGCGTGAGCGTGCATCTCACACCTGCATAGATCTTGGGCTTGGTCTCTGGAGGTGGGCTTCCTTTTTATTCCAGGCAGAAAGGTTCATTTTGTGAGGCAGTTCTGGAAAGTGGATTAGGAGCCCCACACACAGGCAGCGGAGCCTTGAGTCCGGTGGACACACCCATCCACCTCATCTCTGCTGCCCGCACTAAGACCTGCAGGTGGCAGGTCACCTCCTGTGGCGACAGATGCTGTCCCTCCTTGTAGCTGGGCTGGCCACCCTGGCCGTCTGCATGGTCCTCCACCTCTGCTGAGCTCCCTCCGGGGATGACCAGACACATCTCTTAGTTTTGTACCATGGGCTTTAGGAAAAAGTGGGGTAGGAGTCTCTGGAAATAAACGATGGAGCAGGATGTGGCGCTGGTAGAAAGAAAGCGCCGCTCCAGGGCCAGTGAGCTAGCTAGCAGCTCTGTCCAGCTGGGCGGCAGCGAGCTCGCGTTTACATCTTTGGTTCCCGCAGACGGCGCTCCCAAGCAGTAGGAGAGCCCAGCTCCTGCGCTAGCCATACTGGTTACCTCGGACACGGCGGAAACATTGTAACCCACATTAAAGTTGTACTTGCCTGCAGTGAACGATTATTGGACAAGAACGGCCCCTGTAGCACTTGTTTACTTTTCTGAAATAAAAAGAGATAAAAATTACAGAGATGCACTAAGACGGCGTCCTCCAAACTCCTAAACTGAGGCAGCAGTTATGTACCCGAAACCACTTGGTAACCACTTGTGTACACAGAATAAAAGTCGCACACACAGAGTTGTCTCAGTACTACGCAACAGAGCTTTCGAGACAGTTCTGCCACCTGCGTAGGACCTCTCCCCTTCGCAAGCATGAGCTCCGGCCTCCAGCCTCGGCTCTGGGGTACCCCAGCACTCATGCCTGCCCTGCGTGGACCCCCTCACCCCAGCTCTGTGGGTATGACCCAGCTGCCTCAATGCTCCGCCAAACTTCTGGGCCAGCAACTTATGCTAAGGGTTCTGTGTCCCCACCTTCATGGGATGGGACAGTGCTATGGGGTCTAAAAACTGCGTCCCAGGACCTGGTCCTGTCTGTCGGTCTTGGGTAGGGAGATCTGAATTACAGAGAAAGTCTATAAAGTCCAAGGCAGTTTTCTACATCTTGATAGATCTCTCCTGCAGAGCAGAGGTTGTGAAAATTAACAGTAAATATATAATTATGACTTCACTAATCAGCCCCTAGCCACATAAGCAGGCTGATTTCAAATTCACTGTACAAGCTTCAAGTGGTTTTCAAAAAGCTTTAGTGAGAGAATAAAACACATTTACAAGGCACATCAAAGTTCTCAGTACAATGCCCCTTAATAAACGAAACTGAAGGCAGGATCTCAGTTTATTGGCAGGGAGAATGGGTGACAAGTGTTCTCGAAGTGCGGCAGGAGCCCTCCACCCAGATCAAATTTAAAAAGATGATGGTACAGAAAAACATTTTCCCCTTCAGCTACAAACAGGAGCCATCATTTCTTCGCAGAGGTCTGCTGGCTCATTGCTGTGGCTGCCAGGTGACAGTCACTCACCTCTGGTGGGAGAACCAGAGCCTCCCTCCCTTCCCTACTTCTCTGTAGCAGGGTCAGCAGCACAAGGCTCTTCTGCTGGGAGTTGGAGCCCTGAGCTGGGCCATGGCGAGGGGTGGAAGGGTGGCCACAGAGCAGGAGGAGAGGCGCCCACCTGCAGAGAGGGCTGCTCAAAGCCCTGCCAGCTGCTCTTGGGGTGTGCAGCAGGAGGCACTGGGAGCGCTGGGAAAGAGCAGGCCCAGGGACAACAGGCCATGACCTTTCTGTCACACTGCTGTCTCTGCCAGAGCCGCTCCTGGCTTAGAGCACACCACAGAGAAGCGCATGGAAAAGAGGTGGGACGTCCTTTCCGTCCACTGTGCGGTCAGTCTTGCCCACTCCTGACACAGTGGTGCCACACCGACCTGGGCCCGGATGTAGCTGGAGCAGGAAGGGCGAAGCCCCGGGGCTGGATGAAGACCATGTGGGGCTGGGGTGCTGCTCAGTGAGGAGCACTGACGCGGGCTGTGCAAGGCCCAGGCTCCAGCCCATAAAAAAAGAAGCAGACAAGGTTAAAAAAGGGGTGAGTATGTGCAGAGCTGGGGGCTCAGCGGACAGACCCCGTCCTCCTGTGAACAGCAAACCCTCACTGCCGGCCCATGCTAACGTGGGTGCCCTTGGGGGACTTCCTGGGTATTTCCTGCCAGCCTGCCTGTTTGCAGGGACTGCTGGAGTCCTGTGTGTCCCCGCCTGCTCAGACTGGCAGTGCCCACTTTCTCCTCATGGAGGCAAGCGCGAAGGAAGGCATACGAAAGCCATGAGCCTCATGACCAGACGCCCTGTAAACTGGTTTAGGAAGATGGTGTCTGAGACGGCATGGTGGTGGCCTATTGTGGTCCCTTTTGGAAAAGTTCCCTCAGTGTCACCCTGGGCGGGACAAGCTGGTAAAAGCAAGGGGAGTGCCGGCTGCGGTGGCTGCACCCCATGTGGAGGCTGTAGCCTGCCTCCACCTGTGGAGTGCGGAGGGGGCCACCTTCTTCAGCGGCCCTGCAAGGCTCTGTGGCCATCTTGACCTGCAGGCCCCCGGCCCACGCCAGACCTACTTACAAAGAACCAGCGAACAGTCATCGGCACCGGGGAGTGGGCCTGGGGGTGTTTGAGAACTTTATTTACACAGAATCATGCGCTCCGATTATCACACCGTCAGATAGCAAAGCGAAACCATCGCACAGGGAGCCAAGCTGCCCGTCCCGGCTGCAGGTTATTCATGGAGGCGAGCGGCTCGAAGCATCCCAGGACTCTCAATGCTTGCCAGGGAGCCAGAGGGCTCCCGCACCCAGAGCAGGTGGCGCAGGAGGAGTCACCAGAAGAACCAGCCCTCGGTCCCCGAGTGTGAGGACCCGCCATGCACACAGCAAGCCAAGGTGAGGTCGTTAGCGCTTCGGGGTCCCCCACATGTCCCCGCAGCAGTCACAGTTTCCAATGATCACTTTTGTGACTATGCAACTGGGCTCATATTACTAGCTGCAACATCACAAAAATGACACTGGCCACCGCTAATTAGCTGGCAAAGTAAGGGTTTGTCCAGTTTTACAGTGAGCAGTCAGTGGATGCGTGGCACGCAGTAGGAGGTGAGACAGAGAGGTGGAGACTGAGAGTGGGTGGCGAGAGGAGAGAGGATGAGAGAGGGGGAGGGAGAGGTTTCTGGAGCGAAGCCCTCACTTGTGATGTTAATTATCTCTTAGCAGTTTCTCTTTAAAGTGTAAATGCGCCCCCTCTGGACTCCAGAAACACTGAATTACACCTCACGGGCGTGAGGCCAGCATCTGTGTTCAGGAGGGGGCCCTGGTCTGCAAATGGCGGGGCCTCCATGGGGCCGCACCTTGCCGGCTGCAGCAGGGGCGCCTCAGGGCGCTGTGCGTGTGGCCAGGGCCAGGGGCGTGTGCCCTAGGTGTCTAGGAGAGGCCAGAAGGGGTCTCTGCTGAATGCAGCAGGAAGCCAGAAAAGCTCTGCCAGCTTGTCCAGCTAGGCCCTGGAGTGTTCTCTTGCACAGAGCCTCAGGCTACATCTCAGACCGGGAGCATGGGACTTCTGGGACCCAGCTTTTCTTCTTGCTTGTACCGAGCTGGGCGTGGCTATGCCCTGCCCATATATGGATACAGGAGCAAGCCTGTATGCATATATGCACAAACACGTGCATGAGGCAAAGACGGACCTGGGAGGACGGCTGTCTTTATAGCTACATCCATTTTGCCAGTAATAACCATTTGGGAAGGCTACTCCAGGAAACTATGTAAGGCTGTCACATCCTTAGAAATCAATTTGCATCGAGAACACATATCAAGTGGCCAGGACCCTGGGGTGGCAGGCGGGAGTGTGTGTGGCTGCTGCTGCACGTGCGTGGGCCGTCCTAGGGGTGGGGATGGCGTGACAGGTGATACCATATCCTTGTCTGTCTTTGACAGAGGTCACAGGCTATCTGATCCAAAGAGCAATTCAGATAAAACTTTTTGCTTTTCAAAGTGGACTAGAAGGCAAAAGAAATGTCATGAAAAGCTGAGGAATCTGCTAAACATGACCAGGGAACCCAGGGATGAATCTGAGCCTCCTCTTCATGGCAACTCTTTGGTCCCCACCCCCTCGGGTCTCCGAGCTCATACTGTGGCCAGTGCCCAGATCTGTGGTGTCATGGGGACAGTGTGGCCAGGGGCACTGTGGACCTCCCCCCGCCCCGCTAGGCCATACAGGGAGCCTGGTCACTGCCTGGGCTCTGAGAGTGTAACTCTGCCTTCTTTGAGGTTTTCTCTGCCCTGCCCCTGGGAGGCTAGCATTGCATGCGGTCGCCACCGCGTGGGACACGCAGCCCAAGCCTGCCTTGCATCTGCTTTGGTTGGGCGCTGCTCACATCCTCTGCAAGACTGAGGCCAGCTCTCAGTTGTCAGCAAACACACTTGCAAGTGAGAAAGAGTGCGTGGCACTGGCTGGCCAGAGCCAGGGATGAAAGAGATCTTGCAGAACTCAGCCTTGAAATCACACTGGAATACCTACAGTCCTAGGCCGACGGGAGGACTTCCCCCGCGGTGCTCCACGGTAGCCTCTGGCTCGAACCTGACTAAGCCCCATGCTATGCAACCAGATGCGCAGCCGAACTGAAAACCCAGATCTGCCCACCAGTATCCTGCAAACATCAACTTGGGACTCTGTCGGCTGAGGACACTTAACAACACTGCAGCCGCGCTTCCACAGTCCCCAGATGCTGCCCCTCCGGCAGCCTCACTGCTGGGGCCCACGCTGCCCAGCCGGCCCCTCCTCCCTCCTGGTTGCTCCCTGTGCAGGAGTGACCACAGCCGGGGAGGGAGGGGGCATCTCAGAAGTAGAGGCCTCATCTCCGCCTTCCTCCTGGCCGGGCTCTAGCTGTACCCCTGGGGCGGCTCTGGGTTTTACCTGCGGAAATCCAGAAGCGACCTCGTGGAGCAAGGGACGCCCTGGTCATACCAGCTCAGGAAGTGGAACTGAGTCACCGTGCGTGTCTCGTGGGTCTGAAGGTTCTTCAGGTAGAAGCTCCGCACCAGGAAGTCCTCACACCAGATGTGCTCGGAGACCAGGTTGACCTGGGGGTGGGTGGGGTGAGACAGGCACAGGAGGCTCCGGGTGAGTCTGGGGACGGGGAGGGCTGCCCTGCGCTTGAGGTGAGACATGTGTGTCCCATCTCCAGGGGCTGGCCTGAGACCTCCCCATCCCCTGCAGCGTTACACAAGAGATGGTGCGTGTGTGCGTGCGTGCGTGCGTGTGTTCAACACCATGTATGGGCTTTAAAGTCAGTTAAAAGAAGCTCTTATAATGGAGAATCCTCTAGCCACGGAGGGAAGGTGGCCATAGAGAGCACCCTGGGGCAGAGCCCACGGTGCCGGCTGTATTCTCACCAAGGCCAGGGAGGGTGAGGGGCCAGGCCCAGCCCAGCGTCCTGGCTCAGGGGCCACCAGCCACCGGGGTGTGGCCGAGGGCTTGGAATGCACTGTGTGTCCCTTGCTTTCTAACCTCAGTGGACAGCCGGGCCAAAGGGTGCTCACAGGCACTGGTGTAAACGTCCATGTTCAGTGAGTTTGTGCTCGATGTGCACAGGACACCCAGTGAGAGAGATCCTTTTGGGGCAGGTTCTCCCAAGCTAAAGGCCCGGTGCTGTGGACACCAACAGCTGAATGAGCCGCGGGATGGATTCCACAGAGGATCTGCCAGACACTGGCCTCAGCGCCTTCCCGTGAGCCTGGGCTGCTGGTTCTCCCGGCGGCAGCGCCTGGACCCCTCCTGGGGGCACCTGCTCACCCCCACCTCCCGCCCGAGCTGTCCAGGCCTGGTGGGGAGCACGGCCAGGGCCGGAGGCCTCGCCACAGCCCCTCACCCAGGACAGCGACACGCGCTCCCCCCCCCCCGGGGCGGCAGCCGGTCAGTACCTCATAGATGTGGTAGAGGCTGGCGCCCTCATCGGGCCAGTAGCGGTGGCACTGCCAGACGCCGTTCTCCGCGAGCGGGGTCAGCATGACGATCACTGCGCAGCCGCTCTCCCACACCATCTGCAGACAGAGGCGGGCCCCGGCCACACGTCAGCGAGGACCGGAGGGCTGGCACAGGGCCGGGGCCCACGCCGCGTCACCCACGCCGCGTCACCCACGCCGCGTCACCCACGCCGCGTGCACAGCCAAGGGCCCCACCACGCTGCAGGGTTACTTGGGCTGCAGAGAGATACTCAGAAACAGCCTCGCTCGGATGTCAACGTGGTGTCAGAAAGAACTATTTTAAACACAGATGTAAAATCCAATTAGGGTCCTGTTGTTTCTAAAAATCCTCTGAACTCTGGGTAACTAGTTTATTTATTTATATTTTGTATCAGTACAGTCTCACTACTAGATCAGACTCGTAGTGATCCACATGTGTTCAGCCTCCCAAGAGCTGGGATTACAGGTGCACACCACCATGCCTGGCCTCAATCTCCATCTCAGCACGCCCTGGTGGTGGGGCAGCATGGCAGGGGATCGAATCCTGGCCACTGTGTGAGTGACTAATTTAAAAACACCAATATTCAATGTATTAACCACTGTTATCCTATTACCTTTTGATTTTTTCTTTTTAAAATAATAAAAAAACTCATATCTCAAGTTTAAAATGCTTTCTTATCAGAGTACCTATTGTTGAATTTTCCCACTAAATTAATTTTAAAAATTAATGTGTAGACAATATTTTCCTCTTGTGCTACTGAGTCATATTCCTGTGGGGTATATGCCAGTGTCCTTCGGGTACCGTATACTGTGCATATGGGAACACACACACGCCTCCTCTTGGGGGCCTTCTACAGAGAAGCCCATGTAGGCGGGGCATCTCCCCCCCCAGTGCCAGGCCACTGGAAGTGGAGCCCAAGCCCGCCTCTTGCTGTGAGGCCTCAAACCTGCCGCCACGTCACCAAGATGGCCTCCAGAGCTCACTGGAGCCATTACGAAAATGTGGAGAAACACAGACTTTATGCGTGTCGTAAAGAAGCAGTGATCTACAGCATAAACTAATCATGGGGTGTTCTGCTGGGCTACCCGAGCGTGACACCAGGGAGCCCCTGTCTGAGGAGGGGCCCTTGAGCAGGTGGGCTCTCAGTGGCTGCCACATAATGCCTTGTTCCGGGGTCCTGTGGGCCTCCGAAGGTTTGGTTAAGATGAAATCCAAAGAAAACTTAATTTAAACACACAATCCAAAGGGAGGTGTTTCTTTTGGGGGTCACCGTGTCTAAGTGCAGGGCTGGCATCTCTAAATGGCATGGCTCATAAACACGGGGCGTTTCCTAAAGGGCAGCTCTGCTGGGGACCTGGGTGGGCACAGACTGCTCGGTGAACTGGCGGCAGGTCCCATGTCTTAGCCTTGGGGAGGTCAGGGCCCTTTTCTGAGTCCCCCTGCACCTGCACAACTGCCCAGTGGGACTTCAGAGTGGGCTGGAAAAGCCGAAGTCAGACATGGGTGGGAACTCAGAGCTTCAGCCCGTGAGTGTTGGTGTCGGTGGGCCTGAGGCTTTTCTTCCTGGCTCGATTGCCCAGGTGGGCACACTATCTGGGAATGTGGCCACATCCTTAAACAGGCATTGGAGGTCCTAGGTGGTAGGCTTCTGACCCCTACAACACTGTCCTCATAGGAAGGGGCAGCATGGGTGCCAGGACACAGAGGAGGGGAGGCCACGTGTGGACAGGCAAGGGCGGAGCAAGGCTGCCGCAGCCAAGGGGTGCTGGAGCTGGCAGGACTGGAGTGGCAGGCTCCTCCCCCGAGCTCTGGGGGGAGCACAGGCTTGCTGTCCCTGGCAAGACTGGTGACTCCCAGAATGGAGGATACATTTCAGTGGCCCCAAGGCAGTGGGTAGCACTGTCACAGCAGCTGTGACACAGGCCACCCTTCTGGGGACACTGCTGATCCAGCAAACCACAGCAGATGCCCACACCTCTGATAACATCTGAGTTCTATGTCCAAGTTAATTAATACAGGAAAAAAGAAGTATCGGTTCTCATTGGAAGACCTCCTGGAGCACTCTGGGTTCAAGTAACAAACGAAATGGAACCCAGCTGAAAGCTGGGGAAAGGACCTGAAGGACATTATCCCAAAGATAACAAAGGGCCAGCAGCCAGGCTGTGTGCTCCACACCCTGACCTGGGGCAGGAGGGCAGGCTGAGGTCACTGAGACGTCACCTCCTCCAGGCCAGTGGCCTGTACCAGGAGGGCAAGAGTAAGGAGCGCGGGTGGGGCGCGGACTGGGGGCCTTCACTTGGGCAGGATGGCAACTGGCAGGGCCGGAATGGAAGAAGTAAAGCAGCACAGGACCCAGCAATGCCAGTGCTGGGCGTGGATCCAAGGAATGAGGTCAGTGTGTCAAAGAGATGCCTGCGCTCCTGAGACACGGCAGCGCCCAGCAGTCAGCAGAAGCGGGAGCGGACGCCAGTACCAGCGCACAGGCAGACACAGGAACGAGGTGGCCGCACTCCGAGGAGCACGACTCAGCCCCGAAGGGGGGAGGTGGTCATCTCCGGCACCGGCGAGCCTGCAGGAGGTCCCTTACCCACGCGTGGGCGGTGACAGGTCACGCGAGGAGGGCGCGGACGCCCCCCCCCAGCACAGATTTCCGGCCTGCGCAGCTGGGCGAGCACGGCGGCTCCGGTGGCTCGTGCGCACCGTGTCCTGGTGTGCTCGGCTGCTTGACAGCGTGGCCGCGCTCACGGCACCGCACCGCACGCCGCGGCGTGCGCGGCGCAACAGGCCCAGCTCTGGAAGCCGGCGGACCTGGCGGGAGCTGCGGCCTGGGCCTCACCTAGGCTCTCGCGCCTTCTGCAGATTCCCGCCGCCTTGCGACGAGAGCCTGTCTGGTTGCCTCTGTTCCTACCCCCCGAGGCATTGAGTAGAGCGAATTATTCTGCTGTCTTGAATAGACAGGCAAGAAGAGAACGCAAAGGCCTCCCTAACAGAGAGCTGCACGACGGTCCTCCCAGGAGCGCTTAGACGCGCAGAAACGCGGCTCACAGCCGGCCTTCCCGCTGCGCACTCGTGGAAGCCGCCCGGACGCGAGCTCTTCCTGCAGGGAGCGCTGCAGCCGTGACCCTGGCCACCCACCCAGCCTCTGCTGTGTGGCTGCTTCCAGGTGGCGCGAGGTAAGCAGAAGCCTAGAAATGAGGCTGCCAGCTGAACCGTGGCCCCAGGTGCCAGCCTGGCCTTGGCTGCCCCTTCTGAGAGCTTCCTGGTGCTGGGATTTTTTTGGTCGAAGACAACTGGGTGAAAACAGTGTCTCTGAGACCTTTGCTGAGGAGCCGGCCCAACGCGTCGTTGGAGGGCCGCTGCCTCGAGGGTGCTGGCGGCTCTCGGAGTTGCTGACAGAGTGGTGAAGGCACTGTGCTGTCTCCCACATGTGACTGGTGATGCACCACCCACCCTGGAAAAGTCGCCAAGGCTCAGGCTTACCTGGAGAGAGCATGGGCGGGAATGGGGCGGAGGAGGGGTGCTGGCTGCTGGCGGGTGCCATGTGAGGTAGGGTGGGGGTGCCTGGTAGCTGCTGTGTGCAGCCATGCCCACCCGCCCAGGCGGCTCCGCTCTGACCTGCCTAAGTGCGACCGGGAAGGAGCCTCCTGAGGGCTCACTAGGGGGTGGGGTGGGTGTCCTGTGTGTCACCTGGTGCCCACGGCAGTGCAGCGCTAGCTGGCTTCCTCCATCCGCCTGTGCAGTCATTCCGGGCGGCCCTGTCCCCAGCTGCCCCCTGGCTGAGGATGTGAGCCAAACGGAATCTGGAGTCTCATCCTGGGTCGGGGTCCCGACAGGACGCGCAGAGTCTCTCCTTGAGGGCGGGGCTGCTGCGAGGGCCACGCGCTTCTCCAAGCCAGGATCACCTGGCGGTAAAGGGGGGGAGGGGGACACTGCAGCTGCACATATAAGCGGGTTGTGGGCTGTTTTCAGCGGTGACTCAGGAGGATCACCTGGAAGGCACCTGGGGCAGGACATCTCTGCAGCTGAGCTTGACTCGGGTGTCACTTCCCACTGCGGTGGCCTCAACCATGCTCCTGGATACGGCTGCACAGGTCATGTTTTCAAACCCCAGGTCCGGAGAAGTCACACAACGACAAGAGCAATCTTTTGCCTCTAAAGATTCTTGAATTTATCTACAGAAAATCCAGCAAAGCTTCATATTTGAAATCAAATGTCCCAGAAAATCGAGGGGCCGTGGTTGGAGCACATATAAGCCAGCATTTTCATCTTCCTGCCGGTGCTGGGGAGCCCTGGTGTGCCCCACACCCAGCTAGGAAAACAGAGTCTCTACTGTCACTTACACCAAGGAGACATGGATGAAGAACGGACAGCAAACCGGGCTTGGGGTGTGTAGCACTGTGGCCTCATCCTGGATGCTGGGGACACTGAGGCTGCGCTGAACAGTGCCCATGGGCTGCAGGCCAGCTCTGGCCAGCCAGGCACAGCAGCCTCTGTCACCAAGGCTGCCGCCTCTCTGGAGGCCCCGTGAAGTTCTCCAAGATGTGTCAGTTGTGGGCACCGTTGCCTTGTCCTGTGTCAGGGCTGCCGGCGTCTCTGCCTCACATCCCCCTCCGTGGGGCATGCATAGGAGGAAAGCTGTGACCTTGCTGGGTGTCCTGGTGCTGCCTGTGCTGAATGCTGGTGTCAGGCCACTCAGAGTTACTCAAAAGAACCGAGCAAGATGGCAAACCCTCTCAGGGCCACACAAACGCTTGAGTGAAATTCCCTCTAAGGCGGGGTGTGGCACATGCCTGAAACCTCAGCACTCTGGAAGCTGCGGCCAGAGGAGCTCAGGTTCAAGCCCAGTCTAGATGACTTTGCTGCACGTGGAATTCCTGTCATGTTAACAGCCTCCTTGGGTCCAGGCAGTGCGGGGCCTGACAGCCCAGGCAGACTGTAACGGTGTGGAGAGGCCCCCGGCCAGGCTCTCTGGGGCAAACCCCATTGAAGATCTCTTCACTCCTGTGGGCCCCAACTAGTCCCTGGCTGTCCCCAGGAACTCTGGCCAGCCTCATGTGACTGTCACAAGTTGCACTGGGTTCAGAACCGAGGTTATGGTCCCTTCCAGATATGGACAGAGCAGCCTCGAGGACAGGGTCGAGGTCTGGACAGAGGCTTGGCATGGTGCAGCCCAGGACAGTGTCACACTCTTAAGAAAGTGCTCACCTGCTGCCTGGTGACCCTGCTGCCCCAAAGTGGATATTTTTCTTTAAAATATGGATGATATAAGGGCTGGCAAGATAGCTCAGCAGACTAAGCGCCTGCTTAGGCAAGCACAGGGACTGGGGCTCGATCCCTGGCACCACATACCACGCCAGCCCTGCCCCTGGGCTTTGCGTTGAGCCTACCCTGAGTCTGGGCATGGCGATGCATGCCTGTAATCCCAGCACTGTAGAGGCTGAGACAGGAGGATCACTACGAGTCTGAGCTACGTAGCAAGACTCCATACCAAGTACATTTAAAAAATAAATGAATATAATATGGATGATTTCCAAGTTTGTTTGCTCCTTCCTGGAAAATCCGACCTCTGCCAGCATGGGTGGGTGCCCTTGTGGGGCCCTCGCTGTTCTCATGGACAGGATGGCCTCAGTTTCCTCCTCTGCATACAGGTGTCTGCATGTGTGGGCTCCACGGCCATGCACTCATGTGGATGAAAACACTCAAAACTGTTGGCACAGAACACGCGCAAAGCCCCTCCTCCGTGATCCCCCACCAGCGCGGAGTGTAGGCACACACAGCTGCATGCTTGGGCTCGGTGCTGTAGGTTGCCAGAGCTGCTCTGATGATGGCCCGACACGGTGGCCACGTGGCCGGCCACTGCCTTCCACCAGGGCCACAGCAGCTGGGTCAGGTGTCTGTGCATGGGTGGGCCTACAGCTGATCCTCTCCCGTAAGGGGACAGCTGCACACCTAGCTTTGAAATTTTAAAATGTAAGTCAGGCTTTTGGAGATAAAAGTCTTAATGCATGCTGTGCTTGTCAGGGAAGCTTCTGCTGCTAGGGAGGGTGGCGTCGGCAGGGGACAGGGCGACTCTCCACACTGGACATCCGGGCTCTGCTCTGGCTGTGCCCAGCGGGCCAGGGACTGGCGTGGAGAGGCTCAGGGGCTGCAGTGGATTTGAGGTCCAGGGGGCAAAGCCCAGGAGTCACCTGTGGCTCTTTCCACCTCTCCTTGTCCTCTTCACGGCCGTGCTGTCCTGCTGAAGCATTGTGACCCAGGCTCTTCTTCCTCTCCCTACCTTCTCTCTGGACACCACAATGGCCATGGGACTTGCCAGGACAAGAGGTGGACACCAGTAGCTGCTCAGTAAGTTTGCTGCTTATGATGTGGCACTTGGAGGCGTGGTGTCTCCATCCCTCACCAGACAGCACATAGGGATGTGGCCACAGACTGGGAGGGACGGCATCCCTGTCCACGGCAGACCCTGGCTTCATGGCCACCATACCGTGTCCCGACCACATCCTGTCAGAACCGGGGACACTGTCACTACGCTGGGCAGAAGTAGCATCCCTGGCACATCCAGCTACAGCTGGGAATGTGGCCACGGTCATAGGTAGGACCACGACACCCCACCTGTCTAGTAACAACTAGGGGCATGGTTGTATTTAGGAAAACCGGCTTTGCTGATGCTGCCATGGAAGACGAGGCCACAGCAGCTACGGTGGACTCCATGGCTGATGCCCAGCATCTTTGAAGGGGGACCTCTGGACACAGATGTGGACCCTGTGGGGACAGTAAGTGGGACAGAGAGATGCAGAGAGATGCCCCTAGGGGACTGGGGCTGGGCAGAACCTGGGAGGTCTTCCCTCCAGCGTCCAGTGCGACCGGCGCTCCACACCTCAGTTGGGACCACTGGTTTCCTAAGATGAGCAAGCAACAAACCCCGTCATCATAAGTCGCCTGCAGTGTCACTGTCACAGCTGTGCACAGCCTTTCTCCACCAGCTCTGCCGCGTCACTGTGGCCCTAGGGCGATTTCACTCACTGCTGACACAGCATACCTGTTCTCTGCACCAGGAGGGATCCAGATCAGCACCCCAAAGCTGAGAGCCGGGAAGCTGTGCTGGTCCTTTCCGCAATGCGTCTCAAGGTCTGTGGCCAAGCTTGCTTGCAGGCCACGAGTCCAGAAGGTGACAGGAGGGTGAGCTCTGCTGCCGGCCCCGCTAGCTTCATGCTCAAATGGAGCTTTCGTCCCGAACACACTTACCCACATCTCTGGACTCAGAGGGTTTCGGCCTCTGCATTGCATCCGGGTATTGAAGGGTATTTACCTGGGGCTGGGCCCTCATTCCGTGCAGAAGAACATGCTGAAGGGTGCCAAAGATGGCAAATACGGGACTGGGGGGCGCTCCCTGCTGTGCTCTTCCCCTTGCTGGCAGGCTGTGCACCTGTTGGCTGTGCCTGTGTCAGGAGAACCCTACTGTGGCCACTGGAGCATGGGGAAGGGCGAGGCCAGCTTCTGTGGTCAGGCCTCCGTGGGGACTTCCCAGCAGGACACTGTTTCCGGGAACTGCTGCCTCCTGACCGAGGCGTTTCCCTGGCCTGGTACTTCCCCTCACGCCAACGTTTGCTCGTTGATCTCACCTGGAGATGTCTGCTCTGTATTCCAAGGATGTGCTCCTCAACAGCTCTCAAAAGGACACTGTAGCTGTGGGCAAGGCCGGGAGGGGCTGCTCCAGCTGCCGCCACTCTCTGCGGTGCTCAGGCGAAGGAGGGGCTTCACTTGGACATGGGTTTGGGTGCAGGGCAACATGTGGGATGTGGGTACCACAGGGAGGGCACTTCCGCCATGGCCACGTGTGCTCACACAGAGGGAACTGCAGTGTCCACTGGTGGAGGGGCCCTAGTGCCCGGGCCGAGGGCTCCTTGCCAGGGCTACCGGCTCAGCGGTGAGACTTCAGTGGTGGGAAGACGCAGGCACATCAAGAGGGCTTCGGTTTCCTCTCTGAGCCTGGAATCTCTCGGGTCCCACCTCGGAAATCCTGGCTCTACCTGACACCCAGAAAGGCTGGCCTGACGGGCCTCTGGCAGGCAGACTGGCACCCTCCTCTTCTGGGAGGGCAAAAGAGGGTGGACGGCGAAGTTAGGAAGGAAGTGACTGACCTTTACAGTCTATTCACTGTCATGAATTTCTAAAGGAGAAGTGGTGGCCACCTCTAGGATCTAAACAGCCCCACTGCAGCATGACCTCCTATGGCTGTCCCTGTCCCCACCTGGGTCAGCTCCTCAGTGTCTGCCCTGGGACACAACAAGCCTTGAGTGAGGGGGAGGTTGCACCCTGCTGGGGCGCACACATGCTGCTGAGCATGCGGAGCCCCTTCCCGAAGCTGTCCCCACTTGGCTCAGTGCCAGCCGGCCAGGGGGACATGCAGGGAGGGCAACACTCACACTCAGTGTCAGCACTGCATGTGGTGACCCGGCTGTGCTGGACGGGAGACCCTGCAGAGGAGGGCACTGCATGTCAGCACCGTCTTTACCTTCCTCAGACTGAGGCAGCAGGTCGGAATAAACATATCAGTGTGAGCAGGCGCTAACTTCACAGCTTCATTCTGTGTGAAATGAACTTGCAGAGCAGAGCAGATCAAAACAAAGATCTCTAAATCATTAAACATTTCAGAGGGAGTTTTCAAACTTGGGGACAGAAAGACCAACAATAACAGTATTAGAGCACATCTGCGTTCTGGAACGCTGCAACCTTGCAGAGCACCTGCGAACGAGTTTGAAGTGGCTTCACGGAATTCCACGAGCAATTTGTGTCTAATTCATTAAGCTTTTAGTTTTAGAAAAAAGTAGCAATTAAAGAAGACTCACCTGCCAGAAGTCGGCCACCGTGGCGGGCAGCGGTCCTTGGGTGGTGATGTAGGCAGGGTTCCTCGGGTCATGGTCCATCTGCAGAGACGAGATGGTGGCGGCAGGGTCAGCTGTGTAGCCGGGGACACCAGAGAGGCGCCTGGCTGAGGAGGACAAGGGCGGCAGGGCAAGCAGGGCACCAGGGGCAGCACAGCCACACGCAGGGACTCAGCGCAGGCACCACGCCTGTGTGCCAGGCAGGGTGCTTCCCAAGGCCTGGCTCCAAGGTTCTTTCTTTCTTTCTTTCTTTCTTTCTTTCTTTCTTTCTTTCTTTCTTTCTTTCTTTCTTTCTTT